GGGAGGGTAGTGGGGGAAATGACACCTTTGTTTTTAAATTCCCTCTGTCTTTTCTAAAGTTCTCCAACTTTAAAGTTAACTTCTCTTTATGATTGGAGCAAAGATGCAAGCTAGAAATCTACCCAGATCTTGCCAGTTACTTCTCAACTTGGCTTCAAACAGGTAATGTTTAATAAAACTCCGTATGCTGTTGGGAGTTTGTGTCCAGTTGTGTAACTTCTACACTGCTAAGTGATACTCCCACCCAAAGTCAGTTTTAAAGGCTTCCTTAGCAGGAAACCAGGACTCGAACAATTAGCTGTAGCTTGAGGGGGATATGTTGTAGACCCAAATGGGGAGGGAGGTAGAGAGAGAAGAATGGACATAAAAAGCAGAATTTACTGAGCAACAGACAAACTACTGTAACTCAAGGGGGAGGAGGAAAAATGCACTTTCAATAGTTTGTCCATATTTTTAGCTACAAAGTACACTTGTATCTGATTTTTTTTTTTTTTTGAGATGACTCTTAAGAGGAACACCCATCCCATAAATGGCTAATCCTCCTTTTGGCCTCCTCCTGTCTTTTCCACATTGGCTTGAGTCCATTTTCAGCTGCCATACTTAATTTTGAAAACTGCTACTCTTAACAATGTTTAGAAACAAAAATCATTAACTATGACACTTTTTTTAAACAGGGTGGACTTAATTGAAGTGTGCAGTGTTGAACTACTGCTGCAGTAGCTGCCTCTAGTTGTTGAAATAAACTGTAGACAAGTTTTCTGTCAATTAATCCAGATAATCTGGATTCAGTAAAACATCTGTGAGAGTGTTCCTCCCATCTGGTATGAATGTGTGTGTGCATGTGTTCCATGAACAGACAGAGAACCAAATGTTCTAGGTACTTGTCATGTTTTATTGCATACTTTAAGTCGTGTGTATGTGAAGTGTCCTTTGACCAGAAGGTTTTGGTTAATATCAGTATATTTTTATAAATTTGAAATTCATTGTGCCCCATCTTTTTTCTTAAACATTTTTCATTCTTAGGGTATATGTGCTAGATTTGAAACTTAACATTTTTAGGCACAGATGGAAAAAGTTATTGGCTCCTTGAAAACATATGGGACAAAATGGATCCTCAAAGCATGTATGTACTTACAAACCAAGCTGTAGAGATCAAGAAAAGAACTTTATTGTTGATCTCAAGATTTCTAAATTGTCAAGATTTATATGGAGTTGTGGTGGAACTAGTTAACACTTAGAGCTTTTGGTATGTAATGACTATTTGCTATGGACTGATATTAAATGTTTCAAAGGATTGCGTTCTTAAACTTTCTGGATTTTTGTTACTCTCCTCGGATATTATTAAGTAGTTAAAATTTCTTTGCTATATTACATTAAAAACATAAGAACTTTGGGTCTCGTATTTATTTTCACTTGTTTTACTAATTATTTACAGAACACCGTTTTAACTTTTTTATTTTATAAATGTGTAGTATTTTAAACATATCTTTAAAAATTGTTCAATTGGAACTACATTAACTTCTGATTTGTTTTTATTAGGATTTTTAAAAAAAAAAACCAAAAACAACACTTTTTCCATGTTGGTGCACAGCACTTAACAGAAATGTTTGTATTCCCTTTCTTTCAATTCAATAAACAATAAATAACTGGAATGAATAGTTCTTAGTTTCCCTAACTTCACTTATATGACTGACTTGGATGTTAATTTCTTGATCATTAATTATAGATTTCTTCCATATTTGTAGTATTTCACTTCCTCGCTAGGAAAATTAACTTGTGGCCATTGAGCAGATGAGTCACCCGGTGTTGTGTGCAGGCTTTGCAGTGTTGGATGTCTGGCTCTAACCCACCTCATGCTTGTGTTTTCACTGGACATTCAGCAGTCGACTTGCTCGTGTCCCAGTCTGTGCTTATCTCCCTTGTTGAACACCTGCTCCTTTGAGGCTCCGTGAAATCCATGATTCCTTACTGCTGGGGCTTGCCTGAATACCGGATCCAGGTTGCTTTAGGTCATCGGTGGGTTTTACTGGGTTTTTTGATACTTCATATTAAGAAGGTGCTCTTTAAAGCACTTGTATCTCCTGCCTTTGTTCCCTCCAACTAACTCGGTGTTCTTGTCCCTCCTCCCTGTGCCTTAAAACAGAACCTCATCTTTATCCTGCACTTCCATTCAGCTACAGCTTATTTCTGTTAAATAAAAAGTTGTACCTCAATTTCCACTCCCTGTAGCTTTTCCAAACTCAAACCTTTTGCTGAAGTGTGTTCTTTAATTCTTTGAGCTTATGTATTGATTGGAAAAGATCTTTACTCCCTCTTTTATTAACTTTATTAAAGATCTTTATTAAAGATCTTTACTCCTCCTTTTATTAACTTTATTCTCTCCCGTACAGTTTAGGCAATGTATAGATAATTATGGCTTAAATGCAGCTGCCAACAGAAGGGGCATGCCTTACTCCTTTCCATGTCCTGCTTTGTGCCACTTCTCTTGGGTACTGGTATTTGCAGGAAGGTTGTTGGATTGCAGACCCACTTAAGCCATAAATGCAGCAGATGAAGGAAGTTACTAACAAAGCCAGCCAAAAACTGTGCTTCATCTGCTGTCCTGTCTGTCTTTAATGGGTCAGAAGAGTACAAGAGAAACAGGGATATGAATTCTACAGACCTGTGACATTTCAGTATTTGTAAGATGAAAAATTAACTGCTGTGGTCTGGATTCTTGTTTGGTTTTGGTTTTTTTAATCCTTCAGATTATTAAAAAGAAATTACATAAAAAACCTGAGAGTAAATGTGCCTTTCATAATTACCTTAAATCCAAACTCTGCCTGAGGCAGGGTACTTCTTTACACCTTGGCTTATGCTTTCTGTGCTGCCTGATGTGCCTCTATGCATGTCTTGCACGTGCTTAGGTTGTCAACACATCAGAGATGGCAATCCCAGTTGTGTCCTCACTTTAAAAGACCTATAATGCTCTGAAGAAGAACCACTGAGGTTTGTATGGCTCTAATGTTTCTGCCAAAGATAAGGTGGTTAATGTACTGATAACTGCATGGTGGTTCATATATATTGCCCACATTTTCCTATCACTACCTCCAGTGGCCACCATACCATATACTTGGAGGCAAAAATGGTCTTCTACCACTCGTACAAAATTCTAGAGAGCTTCTTGTGAGAGAAAAAGAATTAGAATAAAGCTTTGACAATCCTGAACAGATGAAGATTTGCTTTTATGGGCTTATCAGTGTTTCAGGTTGATTGTTAACCTGCATGCAGAACTGTTCTTAGGGCTACTGCTCATACCACTGATGTTCTAAGTTCCATGAAACAGAACTACTTCAGGGAAAAAAACCCCAGATACTAGGATGAGGAGGCAAGTATATTCTTTAACAAACCAGGCTAAATAACCAGCAGTCTGTAACTGAAATGAATAATTAGGAGGAAACATGCAATTGTACCTATTGTAACTAACCCCCCCTCAAATGCAGAACTCTTAATAGTTGTCTAATCTCTCAGAAAACTGGAGTGACTGTCATCTTCACAAGCTGACCAGGCTGAAGACTGTGGGTGAGAAAAAAAGCTCAATAATCTGTTAAAAGTTGGAATCCCTGCAGGGCAACTTTAGTGTTTTCATGGATTAAGAGCTTTCTCTAAATCACAGCTAATCATTTGAAGGATAAGCTAATGGTTCCCCCGTGAAGTTATACTTGGATACCTCAGTTCCAAAGGGAAATATAGTCTGGTGAGTGAACAGGAAGGGATCTGTGTTTGGTCTCACATGCATTTATGGTGATAGATGAATTTTTACTAAAAATGGGTCCAAAATTTCTAATTGTCTTGAATTCTGTATAATAAGCTTGGGTTTAAACTACCCTGTTCTTCCCTGTGGGAGACCCAGAAAATAGGGATTTTTTTTTTATTTTATTTTTACTACCATAAAATTTCTGTGCTCTGTGGATCTCCTATGAGGGAGATGACTGTAGGATCCCTATTTCTAGCTAATGAACCACAGTTTTAGCAATTACAAATATATTTTTCCTGTTGCTGACACTGAAGATTTCTCCTGAGGCAGGAAAGGACCCTGTACAATAGGAAGGCTTTCAAATTACCAGTGGAATTACTCAGCAGAATTGTGGTCTCTGAAACCTGCTACCAAGGTTTTTGCAAATATTATAATCAGTTGGTAGATATAAATGAAGAGAGAGTTTATTGATATTAAAAAAATGAGGTGGGAAGTTTGCATTCACATAAAAGTATAGATTGTTTAATATTTGACAACCCCCACTTAGAAAACACATCTTTTTTTTTTTTTTTGTTGGTCTATCATGGCTAATAATTCACTCTTGAGGAAGTGGGGAGGAATCCACAGTAACATCCCTCTAGTACAGGGAATACACATGCTATCCCCACTTTTTTTTACCTCAGATATGTTGTTTTCCCTTATCCTTCTCTATCCTAGTCCCATCTCTGAAGACACAGTTGTCTGGGTAGGGAATAGAAGCTTTTCCTAGTGAGTGATAAATGTTACCAATTTCCTTGGGCAATGGGTCTACTCTATCTAAACATCATTCCTGCAATTCTGAGGTGCTAGTAGTTAGAAATCATCAGAGACAATGTATCATACAAATATTTTCATTAATGATAAAGCTCTTACCTCAAAATCATGTCTTTAGGATAAGATAAACAGCTGCTAGTTTAAGTGATGAACTTGCAGATTAATGCTCATGTTTCTCAGTGTGAAACATTAATGAAATATATCTACTGTCAGCACTACAGCAAGGACCTGACTTAAGCAGCTTATCCACATTGCCCTTTTCTTCTAACAGATAGCACCCAAAATGTACAGTATATTTTCTCACACATGAATAAAATAATTTAATTGCCTGCCACATAAACTGCTGCAAGAGTTTCTTTCTACTCTCTGAGTTTTACTTGCTCTCCTTTTCTCAGACTGACATCCTGTTTCAGCTTTACAGGGCAGTACTTTCTCTAGCTTGATTTTTTTATGGTGTAGTCAGTGGCATACAGCTGGGGTAGCTGTTTCCTTAATTATTTTTTAAGGAGCATGATTTTCAGCAGTTTTTCATCTTTACAACAGCTGAACTTGGACTCCATCCATCACAAATTTAAAGCCAAACTTTTCCTAGAACAAACACTGAACACAAGGTATGTACAGAAATCAAGCCTCAGAGTTGTCTTTTTCATTGCTGGCCATGAAAACAATTTGTTAATTACAGCTGTGCACTAAAAACCCAGGTACTTTAGGAAGAAAAAGCTCGTTAATTTTAGGACATAATTACAGAAGTGTATTTTTAAAGTGTTTTAATTTATATGTTTGTTTCAAGAGACCTATTTCCAAGCACATATAAAAAAGTTTAAAGACAGTTATTGGACAGTGAGGGTACAAACTCAGGTTTATACACTTATCACTGAGGCAAGAGCTGCACAAAAAGAACTGAGTTTGCTGGTATCATTGAAGCAGAGTCACATCAGAATTGGGATAAATGGGGTTATGGTTTACCAGACCATTTCCCTGAGCTAGACATTCTCTTGGTTCACCTCACTGGATATGGAAACAGCAGGTTCGTGGAGTAGCAACTGCAAATAGTCTTTTGCTCTGTAACCAGCTCCAACCAGCAAGATGATGATTACTCTATGTGAAGGTCTGTGATGTACTTCAATGACAAAATAGGAGTTGAAGGGAAAAAGCAAGTATTAATCATGTTTCTTATTTATGTTTTTCACTCTTACACACAGGTGTCACTTCCACCAAAGGGATCTTAATCCATCCAAAAACAACTTCACATAGGTTGTTGGAGGGAGGGGTGAAAAGGGAGAAAAGCATAACTTTTATTCCACTATTTTTTACCTGGAAAAAACACTGACACAAAGATGCAAGCTGTGCTACTATTCCACTTTGAAATCTGTGTTCCAGGCACTGCTTCAAACTAGGCTTGAGTAGGACAGCTTGACAGCCAGAGGCACATCCTGACACCTTTCAGTAGACACCAGAGCTGCACTTAAATTTGTTCTGGAACTACCATCATTACCAGCCCATGCTGCTGAAATGAGTTTCCCTTCTCACCATTTAATTCCTACAAAGGTCAGTTCTGTAAGCAAGGATTGCATCTTACAGAAACAGCAACTCCAGCAGTTTGGGTTGTAAAGGAACAAAAACAACTGCTACACAAATCCAATGTCTTTTGAAAATATTTTATGTTAAAAATACAGAAAAATATTTCTTGTTCAAAGAGGAAAAATATACTGCATGACGACACTGATCTAGGTGTGTTCGGAAGGTGTCTGAGGCTCCACAACCAGTCACTGGAGTGATGACCCAGTTTGGCAGCTAATGGTTCTTTTTCAACTTCTCAATCATTTATCAAAGCCAGAATCATACTGTGACAAAACAGAAAACATGATACCAGTGGATTACTGAAGCATGTGCAAGCGGGAACAGCTATTGCTGTCATGAGAGAGCTGCACTTGAGCCTGAAATAGAAAGCTAAGGCAACTGCTGTGTGCTTTGCTTATGAGGACATGAGCTGCAGAAGTAATATTGCTGCAGAATAACAGCAGCTCTGCCATCTTGTAGTAAGTGGCCCCATCACAGAACTCATCCATTTGTAACTTACATCAACTTGGTCCTCAAGATTATTTCCATTCTAAATAGGCCACTTACTGTAGGCACTGAAAGCATGTAACTCTTTATATTGTAGTGGTTTAGAGATTAAGGAGTAGCCTGAGTTTCCAAATAATGTCTGATCAGAAAGAATAAAGGTATATAATGAGCCCACAGATAGCTGTCAAAATATATTACTGAGGCTTAGCAGGATGCAAAAAGATAAGACTAGAATACCAGCAATTACACTAGAAGAATAGAAGAGATAAAAATAGCTGGCAGACAATTCCTTTGTTCCTTGGGAGCAATTTCTGAAACTAACCTGTAAAGGTACATGAAGAAACAGAGCAGATGAAAGCCCAGTTTAATCATGGCTTCTTTCATGTGTGATTTCAGTTGTCCTCGGTTATGGATCTCTGTGGGATCAAACACTCCCATGTTTCCACTTGGCACCATAATGTACCTGAAAGTTTAAGAATAAAGAAAAAAAACACCACACAACAAAACCCAAAAATGTAGTCATTGAATCATTAGGGAGTGTCAGCAGAAGGAGAAGGGGAGAGCTTTCCCAGAAGAGAATTTCATCTAAAGAGTTGTTTCATGATTCAAGGTAAGGGAGTTCTTTTTTAATTCTATTTCAGTTTTAGGATATTGCATGTATCTCTGCCAGTACAACCCACAAACAAAAAACAGGAGGACAAGAAGTGCTAAAAGCATCAGCCTGGCTTCCCACGTATAAATGGGAGAGATTCCAGGTAACAGCCAATGCCAGTTAATTGCTGTTCACAGTTACTTGCTGTCATGGAGAAAACATCCACCCACAGTGGAAAGATGCACTAGATGAAAAGGACAGGAAAAGACTTCATTTAGCTAAGAATTAGTGATTTATTTAGCAAAAAAAACCTCACACAGATAATCACAAACTCTGGTTGTCAAAATGAGACGGTGTATGACAAGACAAAGGATCTGTGTATTATTCCTGTCTTTGTCACAGCCACCCTGTCATATCTCAGCACTGACACTGAGGCTGAGAGGATGAGAGGCTGGGCAGAACTGAAGAAGTTCTGCTGTCCAAACCCACATAAGAACAAAAGTTGAGTGAAACCAAGTGAAACATAAGGAAAGGAAGAATGAAGTTGGAAAACACAATGCTTACATCCTGTGAAAATTCAGCAAGCACCATGTTTTTTTGTCACAAGCATTTCTCATGGGAGAAAATAGGAGCACATGAAGTTCTCACTCCTCCTGAGCTCAAGCTAGAGCAGTACTATTAAATCATTGAGATGTCATACAGTCTTTACCTTCCTGGATTAATAATCTTTCTATATGGGAATTTAACTCCTTGTGGAGCAAAAAAAAATGGTTTCAGAACAGAAGACTTTGATTTTCTTTCTGTACTCAAGTGGCAACATTTGTACTCCAAAAGGCACTTCCCCAGCTCTTACAACATTCATTTCAATAATAGGAGGAGAAAGGGAACAAGAAACAAAGATGTTTTCTAGTGGCAGTACAAGACTGGAAAAAAACCCCAGTAAGACCACAGTATGTGTCTTTCACACAGAGGTATTAAAAAGCACTGCAGCATATTTGACTAGTTTCAGAGACAGTTGTGTCCCATGCAAAATAGTTCATGTGAACAAATTCCAGTTTGAAATTCTCTTCTAAATTTGAAGTTTTAAAGGATTGTTCTATTTTTAGTAGGATAACAGACATTATTGTCCGTTTACTGGGAATGGAAGGCATTTAATTGGAATAAAAGGAAGAACACAAGTTTCCTGTACCAATTTATCCTAGAAATAGGGTGCATAATTTTCTTATATGTCTAGGATAAGAGTGCCACAAGGGCAGCACGTATTAATTTTGCTTTTTAGGAAGAATGATAACACTTAAATTTTGCAACTTAATTGCAGAACCTGTGAGGTATTTTTTCCTAGAGGCCCACAAGTTGGGACAGCTTATATTACATATCTAAGGAAACTAGTCATGGATACAATGATGCTAATGCTGACAAACCCAACTCAAGGCAGTTGTCATACTCTAAAACAGCCAAAAAACTTCTACAGCAAACATGACAACTGTCAGCTTTAATATATACACACACTACTGCCTTCAGTATTTCCATTCAGTGGAAGCTGCTGCCACAGCAACAGGACACTTCCCTCTAGATTACACAATTTTTAAAGCCATGTAGAAGTTCTGGTCAGAATTTTGCCTGCATTTTTAAGAATTTTTTTCTTTTTTTTACTTTTTCAGTTTTAAGATGAGTATTATCTACTTAAAGACACAGCAAGAATCACATTATTTGGACCTATCCTCTCAAGATTTATATAACAAAGCAGAAAGAAAAAAATGGAACACTTCCCTAAGAGTTTTAAAACAAGGAGAATGTAAGACAAAACTGTCTCACTTGAGGCACTACAAAATTCATAAAAAAAAACCCCAAACTAAATGATCATTTGAGCATGCTGAACAAAAAGGGCCAGCAGGATGTTACAATAAACGTTTGAAAATCTCCCTTGATACTGTTTTTTACCAATTTATCCTTCCCAGCATTTATTTCTGATGCCCCTTTTGCACAAAACCTCTCTCCTCCAACTGAAATCCTTGAGACATTTAGTAAATTAGGCAACTACTGCCATTCACTCATTGAGATTAGGCAGATTTTGAAGAAAAGTGAATGACAGGAAGAGATTATCCTACCTTTATCATTTTTACTAGAAAGCACAGACTGCTTCAATCTCAACACAATTATTTCTGTAATCATTTTGGAATAGACAATAAACTTAAACTCATCTGAATTTGTGTGCAGAAATACTGTAACATACCGAGAAGATGCAAAAACATTTAGCTGATGCCAGATGTTTGCAGCTCACACTAATGGGTTCACATTTCATCTGTTCCCACTTGAGCCGACTTTAACTGACACCTTCTCCTCTCTTCAGGGTATTCCAACTACTTTACAGTCCACCATTTTCTACCATGCCTCTTGTCCATTGAACACTGGGTCAAATGTATGTTCTATCCCAAATCTGCAGATTTCCTTTATAATCATAAAATGGTTTTTGTTCAAGGGATCTTAATGATCATCTCGTTCCAACTCTGCTGCCACCAGCAGGGACACCTTCCACTAGACCAGGTTGCTCAAAGCCCCATCCAACCTGGCACTGAACACTTCAGGGATGAGGCATCCACAACTTCTCTGGGCAACCTGTGCCAGTGCCTGACCACCCTCACAGAAAAGAATTTCTTCCATATATCTAACCTAAATTTTCCCTCTTTTAGTTTGAATCTATTACTCCTTGTCCTATCACTACAGTTCCTGATGAACTGATAATGCTAAACACCACACCTGCAAATCTCTAATTCCTTCATTATAGATGGGATAATCCAGGCTATTAGTGTGAGTGAAACTCCTCAATCCACAGAAGGAAGGCAGGATTAGTGATATAGGCTTAACATTTTGATTTCTTGTGGCAGGACAGGCAAAGTATCATATTGTCAGATTCACTTATTGCCTACACTGCATATCTAAAATTGAGGAAACAATCCTGGATTTTAGGATATTCAGAATATTTATGCCATGTATGACAAATATAAAATGAGAGCTGTCAATAAAAACAGCAGTCAAAGCTTATTGCATGAAGTGTAGAAATAGAAATCATTTATCTTCGAAAATTAACAGGGTTTAGAAGGGAAAGCAAGGTGCTACTTTAAAAATTAACATAAATACACCAAATGAAGCACCAACAGGGTAACCAGTAAAGGAAAGCTTCAAAGAAAATCCATTCTCTCTCCAGTGTCTCTGCAGAAACAGCCTTGCCTAAATGAAACATCAAACTCCAAAGTTGCCAGCAGATACCAAACAGAATACTGGTCACTTTGTGTAACACTTGTACATGTGGGTGGCCAAACAAAAATAGGCAAAAACATGCCCCACGTGTGTGCATTTAGGCAACATTTGTTTATTAAGCACAAAGTTATACTGTCTTATGTTACTCCAGTTTAGAAACATTTGAAGGCTTTGCTGGCATTCCACAGAAAACAAGGATGATGAATGCATGGCTATTTTGCCCAAGAACAGCCAGGTTATCAGTACAGAGATACTCAACTTTGTTTTGACGAGAGCTATGAAACTTCTTGTTTAATTTTACCAGTGACTCAACCCACCCCTGCAACTAGTTAACCCTAACAGGTTCAGGCAAACAAGAATTACAGCAAACTTTTCCTACCTGTACCTTAAACTTTTTTATTCCCATAGTATAGTGTTTAGAGATAATTTCTGACAAATTCACACCCAGTTTTCATTAGTTTAACAACTGTAAGGGTCAGTTCTCCAAACATCAAATGATACAAGATAAAAAGAACATTTTTTGAAATCACAGTCCCAGTGTTGCCACATGGAAACCCTTACTGATAACTAAACCATTTCCAAGGGGTGGCAGCCCAGGGCACAAAGACCAGTAACACTGACAGCTTTCCTAGGATGAAAAGTCTGCAAACCTTTCCAAATACAAAGAGGTAGGATGGGGGAACAAAACCAGTGCAGATGAGAGGGAGAGACAAGTCAGTGAATGAAGGAGGACATTGTGTGGGGGACAACACCCCAGCCCAGTGGTTTTACAACCATCAGGCAAGCTGACCTCAGCACTTTTATGCTGATATCACGCACGTAGGCACAGCATGAAAAACATTAACAACTCTGTCTGCAGTACTTCATAATCCAAATTAATATGCTATTATTTCCTATGGACTTGGGAATGACCCACAAATCAAGATTCCTGGGCGCTGGGGATAATGAAAGGAAAGGTCAAAAGTTTCATATCCTTTACACTGTTAGGTTTCTTATAATTTTAATGGCAAGGAGAGGTTTTATGTTAGTTTGATCAATAAAGACTAGTAGCAGCTCAAGAACACAACTGAAACATCTCACCATAACATATTATTTATCCCTGTACTACACTTAAAGCTAAACTAGTAACAGTGGGGGAAAAAAACCACATAAACCCCTGTGCACTTACCTATATATATTCCATGTTGCTACTGGCAAATTAAGGAGAAAGATGAACCAGTGCAATGAAATAAGCATTAATACTGTTACAACAGCATGGCCAATCACCTCAGGGACCACCCACTGTAAAAAGGGAAAAGAAAAGGGTTACACACACAAATATAAATTCCTTTCTGAAACAGAGATCTATATGGAGTTATCATCTCATTGTAATCATGGTAGAGGCATGTGATTCCATCACAGTGTGGAGAAATTAATACTTTCAGGCAAGTAAGCCAGAAATCAAGCCCTACGATATTATAACAGAGATGCTTTATCCAAGCATGTCTGGAGAGCATCACAGCAGCTGTTTGAACACAACTGTATTACACAAGCATTTAAAAAAGCGAGTTAAAAAGTATACAGTGCTCATTTGAAATCACTGCAGAGAACAGTGGATTTAGGAACATAGATAATTAAAATCTGCAAAGACACAAAATGTACAAACAGCCTCAGGCTTGGAACACATAAAAATGTTGATCAATATGAAAGTTCCATAGTTAAATTGGGTCAGCCCCTAGCAATTACACATTTTTGGCTTGATAGTATCCTGTACCTTTCTCTCTTTCATTAACAAAAAAATACCTTTAAATCCAAGTGAACACACATACATGGGAAGGCCACATTGATTTAATGCAAACAGTTTCAAGCAGATTTGTTTAAAGTGGTACTTTTCCTTATCACAGTAAAACTCTACTGTTCAAGAGAGGTTAGAAATTACACAGATCAGAGAAAGTTGCTGTGAAGACCTCAAAGTTCAGTCATGAGTAGACACCCTTGGTGTGGTCCACCTACAAGAACCGAAGCACAGAACTCAAGAGTTCTGTGAAGCATTGTCTCAGTCCCACCAGTTTAGGCAGCAGCCCATCCTGGAGCACCAGGGGTCAGAACAACAGCCTTCTGTGACTGAATTTGCTGAAAGATGGGCACCCAAAAGAGACAGGCAGGCTGAAATAAAGGATGTATGCAAAATACTGCCAGTCGAGGCTCTCGAGGTATACATTTACACCCCACTTATTTGTGATGCTGAGATGAAGGATGTGGTTTTCTCAAACCACATTAAATGCAATGAGGAACAATTTACTTTATTGAGTTTGGAGCAGCACGATCTAGCGTTGATGTAGTCACATTCCAAATCTGATAGTGTGATTATCTGGAATCCAAGATAAGGAAACATTGTATGGTGACTGGGAATACACAAAGCTTTATTTTTAGCCAATAAACTGGGGAGAACCCTCTTGCTCTCATTGCAGACATCTTGTTCCATGTTGATCTGCCTAAGACATATTTCAATCAGTTACAACTCACTCCTATGTCAGGTAGAAAGCTTGGCTACATTTTATTACCAGGCCAAGTGATTTTATGATATTTTCCCAAGGGCAACTGTTGCACAAATGCTAAAGTTCAGTTCAACCCTTACAACAAGCCAGGGAGGCAAACTCAGTAATTTTAGTATCAGATTTATTAATACAACCCTTGAAGCCAGAACTTAAAAGTAACGAAAAGTTAATGCACTTTTTAAACTCTCCTCATAATAAAGCTAAATAGTTCAGATTCAAGAAGTGAATCTACTTTTTTTTAACGCTTACAGCAACACTGGATTGTTCATTAGGCAATAAGAGAGTAACATCATTATTGAATGAATTTTCAGCAACTGAAATATGAATATTTCAGACAGAAAAGTCCTCTCAAAAAAGGCTTAAGATGCACATGTGCACATCATCCCGCTATGTCCTGTAAAGACATTGTCCTTTTCTCCAAGGAAATGAACACAATTTTTTCTGTTCCTAAAAAAACAGGTGAAGGCTTTTCATTTTTCAACAAATAATCTATCCTTCTAGGCCGAATTTTTTTCCCAAGTGCTTCTGTACTTGTTTCTGTTACCAGCAGGTAGACTCCGAAATAGCACTAGGATTGAAAGAGGTGTAAAAGCTAGTTGGCTTTTATTGAGAAACGTAAAGAAAATGAAGTCAAATCTGTGCCTCTACATTGCAACACCGCCAGGCAGCGAAGGCTGCGGGCGGGTCTCTAACAAAGAAGATGGAAATCCTGTTCGTCGAGGAACTCGGAGCCCCACAGCCCGGAGCACACGCCTAAGACAGGGCAAGGCACCCTCGCAATTCGAACCCTGTTGCGCGGCCGCGCTTTTTAGGCCCGTGCGGTTCCCGAGGGCCGGCACCGCTCCCTGTGCTCCCGCAGCTCCCTGTGCTCCCACAGCTCCCTGTGCCCCCACAGCCCCCCCGCCCCGCGCTCCAAGAGCCCAACATGCTTTGGGCACCGAATCCCGCGGCGCTTCCCCGCAGCCAGGCGCTCCGGGCTCCCCGGATCCCCCGGTCCAGGGGGCTGCACCCCGGGCCCCCGAACCGCGGCCGTGACCCGGCTCAGCTCCCCCCGCCCCGCCGCCCCCAGCCCGTCGGGTCCCGGCCCGCCCTCGTGCCCCATCCCTGCCCACCCCCGGAGGAGCAGGATACGAAGTAGACGGAGAGGAAGATGAGGGCGCAGCAGTCGATCAGCGAGAAGATGAAAACCACCGACTCCATCCCGCCGCCGCGCCCGCCGCCCCCGGGGCCCTCCCGGCCGCCGTAGGACCCGCCCCGCCCGGGCGGGCCCGGCCGCGGGCCCCGCTGGGAAATGGAGTCCCCGCCTCGGGGGGCCATGAGGAGCCGGCCCGGCCGCGCCATCGACCCGCGGCTCAAGCAGCGCGTCAAGCAGGTACCGCCCGCCCGCACGGGCACCCCCGGCACCGGCCACGGCCACGGCCACGGCCACGGTACTGGCGGCGGGGGGGGCTCGTGTGTCCCACACCCGCTGAGGGGCCTTGAGCATCCGGGCCGCTCAGGGACTGGAGGGGACCAGAGTCCGGCCTTACCTCCTAGAGCCTTTAAATAGGCTTTAGAAAGGTCTATTTGTTTGTTTGTGTTTTTTTTTTTTTTTTAATTTTTCTGTTATTTCGCTTTATTTTCGCACATCTTTCCGTCTTCTTCGGTAGTTCTGAGCCTGAGGATGGCTGCTGCTTCAAACGTGCAATAAGTAGTGTATAAATATACCGTGTGTGTATATATATGTAGGTATATGTGCTTATATATGATGTACACATATATGTATGTGTATATATATGTACGTATGTATGTATACGTGCTTATATATGATGTACACATATATGTATATATATGTACATATGTAGGTATATGTG